CGAGAGGGGGCTTGTTTGATATCATGATCTGGGGGGGAAATTAATTGGGGAAGGCCACCTTTTAGAGCATAGGCCCTTATTCAAGGAAATACAAAAACTTTCAAATCCAAAGGACCAGTGAACCAAATAGATCCAATTTAAGGTGAAGCCCTACAAACATGGAATTTTAAAACCCCTTTAAAAGCTAGCAATTGTCAGATGACAAAAATCTGGAAAACTTTGACTTCGATCTTTTTTTTTTTTTGTCCTTAACACTTCATCCAAATTAAATGTGTGAAAACCACAATTTAATTATGTACTGTAATACCTCCGCCATTTCTTCAAAGCATTCACCAATCGCTGGGGGTTTGCCTTCATCGGCAACTTCAATTGCTGCCTCCAGCAAACCCAGAAATGTCACAGAGAAATCATAGATGTCTGTGATATTGCTGAAAATCCGGCTGATATCCTGCAAGAAAGATCCATTCACAACAAGTTAAAATACCCCACTCACAATATCTCATAATCCCTTTTTGGGTCTACCTCAAAGAAACAAATATGATCAACAAATATTAATGATTTTAATGAGTGAAAAGCTGTAGCATCTATGGCAAACAAAAGGAAGAAAAGTACCTCATGCAGAAAAAGATCCTTGGCTTCAATAAAAGGAGCTCTGAAGACCTTTGAGGGACAAAAAATTTATATAATAACATCACTTTTAAAATAACTTGCATAAGTTTTTCTGCAAGTACAGTCATTAAATAGTTTGTTACTACCATATCAGGCTTAAAGTATGACACAAAGAATAGATCTTGACAGAAAGAACGGCAACAAAAGGACCATGAATGAAGTCACTTCCTTCAAAAATAATTTATCATCACCTAAAGTGATATCTCAGCCAAATATGGTTTATCTTAGCCAGTTGCTTTTTGAAGGGCCTGACCTCTCTCTCCTGCCCAGTAGGGTTAATTAACCCTTTACACACTAATATCTGTATGCATATTCTCCATACTGTTCTCTATACATTTCCTGAGGTGCTGACAAGGAGAATTTGCTTAACAATCAAGAGCTTCCTAAGTTGGTGATCGTTACCTTCCTAAGTTGGTGATCATTACCTTCCTAAGTTGGTGATCATTACCTTCCTAAGTTAGTGATCATTACCTTCCTAAGTTGGTGATCATTACCTTCCTACGTTGGTGATCATTACCTTCCTACGTTGGTGATCATTACCTCATTATTCTCGTGACCTTATTGTTTGATTCAAGGGTGATATTACAAGGAGAAATTAGATGCCAGTGGAAAACAAGGGAGTTCCCTCGGGGTATACTGATCTATTCCCCTGGCCTCTACTCTTCTTGCTTACACCTATTTTTTTTCTAGTTTTGTCCAATGTTTTCAAGTATATACAGAAATAAAACAAAGGTTAAAATTCATCATAGATCAAATGGGCATATCACCTTTTGGTTCTTAAAAAAGTGGCGAATACTTCAGAATCGCGAAGCAAGTGAAAACACTGCCTCCTGGTGCTACTAGAGAACTCTACATATTAGATTTAGCTTTATAAGGAGCATAGCAAAGGAGCCAAACTCAACAAAGAACAATTCCCACTTGTAGCTGGGTAGGGTAGGAGCATGTATTCAGGAGGTCTGGGCTGAGTCACATTTCTTAAGACTGGCAAAATCATGTCGTTGTAACACATGACGCATGGAAAGAAAATACTATGAAGTTTACCTTAATAATCATATTCAGATCTCTGATGTATTGAGCCTCTGCAAGCATCATTTCACGTACAACTTCATCATAGGTCAGAGCTGGCTGACTGCTCAATGTCTGTCATATGAAATGATAACAACTTTAATCACAAAAACAATGTACACAAAAGCTCTCACTATGAGAATTGTTAGCACTGATTAGCTGACTGACCGTATAACCTTAACCCCTGGATAACTCACTGATTGACTGACAAACACAAAGACCACCTAACTGACTCACTGGCCCATTAAATGGTTGATTGGCTGATCGGTTATCTGACTGGATGACTGAAAAACTGACATTCACATTGACTCACTGACTGATTGACTCACTGACTGTCTGAGTGACTGACTGACTGTCTGATTGGCTGACTAACTGGCTGTCTGATTGGCTGACTGACTGGCTGTCTGATTGGCTGACTGACTGGCTGTCTGATTGGCTGTCTGATTGACTGCCTGACTGTGACTGCCTGACTGTGACTGCCTGACTGTGACTGTCTGATAGTCTGTTTGACTTTCTGACTTTCTGACTCTCTGTCTGCCTTACTCTCTGACTGACTGACAAACTTACCCACTCACTGATTCATTGCCTAATTACTGGCTAGTTGGCTGACTGCCTTACAGTTGATGGACTGACATGTTGATTAATTGAGTTCTAGCTTACTAATGCTGTTTGATATATATGATCACCCCACTTTTACTAAGAGAGTTGAAATTGAAAAGGAACAGAGTAAAGGCTGCCAAGTGCTGTTTCTTTTCACTAACCTCTGCTTCCACTGATGTCTCCACATCATCAGGATGAAACATGTCCATCAATACCTATAGATAAATGTCAAATACATCAGGTTACTGAATACACAAGTTGAATTACACCCCTCTCATGTACATGAAACTGCCGCATTAATAGATCATCTTATGACACTTAAAGAGACCTGCCAAAAATAAAACTCACTCAACATGGTAACTAGTTAACCTTTTAAGTCCAAGAAGTGATTAACATGTAACTTCTCCCTATAATATCCATACATTATCCAGTTAAGAGGTAGTGAGAATACTCAAATCTATCAAGTAGAAGTTGTTCCCTTGATTGAACACCAAATTCTCACGACTGGTTTACAAGGAAATGTGTAATAACTAGAGGGGAGAATTCACAATCAGATCATGGGAGTCAAAGGGTAACAAAGCCACTTCATGATAGGGCTAAAGCCTTGACTATAACAACAACTTCTAGTGATTAAGGACTTATTTCCTTTTACTGCCAGAGTACAGTGCTTACTTAATACCTACACAAAATATCAACCAAATTCAACACAGCCATATTCATGGCTCAAAAGCTTATCCTCTCAGCCCTTACAGTAGTGAACAAAAAAGGTACAACTGACCTTGTCAGCAAATAGAGCAACTTTAATGTCTTGGCAAGTAATTTCAACATGCCTGATATTCTTCACATAATTACCAGCAAGCTAAAATAAGAATGAAAGATCAAAAAAATAACAAACCATGATAAAACAACCTCCTCCAAGAACCTTCAGCTGAAAACTTTTTAGTCAGTGAATTTTCTCAAAATAGAGCTTAACAGGCCTATCCTGTGGGAAAAATCTGTTTTATCTGCCAATATATCCTGGTTTATTTCCGATCAGATTAGTTATCACTTTGTTTTGTAAACCTGAGTATGCTTATGGTAAACCCAAGGCTGTGGTCTAGCAGCGCCCGGTGGCCCCCTGGTGCCTTATGTTTGCTCTTGGGCGACTCAGGAATTTTAGTTTTTTTGTACCAAGCATATACTGAGCACCCTGGATTTCACAGTTTCAGAGCACTCAGCTCCATTCAATTTTCCTTAGAGCACAGCCTTGAAACCTTTCATAACCTCAAGACATTTCTTGGTTTGATAGTCGAGGAAATATCATTTTCAGCTACTGACTGTGACTTTCCACAACCTGCACTGGCTGTGTAATGCACATACAGTATTTTATATAAAATTGATTGGGAAAGAGAGTTTTGAGCATTTCTTGCATCAAACATTTCATTCTTCCTCTAATTTGTCGTGTATATTTTGGGTATAATTCATATGCCTTTGATATGCCACTTGTGAGATAACATCTTTTTTATAATAATAATAATAATAATAATAATAATAATAATAACAATAAAATATTTATATAGCGCACAATCCACTATTTGTCCATAGCGCTTTACATCAATAAGTTAAGAGACCATCTAAAAATTAAAAGAGTTAAAAAAGCTTGCTTGGAAGGATATGTTTTTAAATGTCATTTAAAAATGTCTATCGAATTACTGGATCTTAGTTCAAGTGGGATCGAGTTCCATAGTCTCGGTGACGCCACAGCAAACGTTCTCTGTTCATATGTTTTCAGTCTAGCTTTCGGGGTCGCCAGAAGGTGTTAAGAGGACGATCTTAATTTCCATTCAGAGGTGTGGTACTTTAGTAATTCACTGATGTAGGAAGGTGCTATTCCATTGAAAGCTTTGTACATCAGTAGGAAAATTTTAAAAACTATACGGTAACCATCCCTAGATCAGCGTTACCTATTTTTAATTCATTTACCTTTAAAATATCAGCTGATATGTACTCCATAACAGCCACAATGTAAAGGCTGACTTGGGATTCCACCTTGAATCCTAGAATATCCTGCAGACCACAACAAAAACATTATTTGCTTTGTCAGGGAGCTTCAGTACAGATGTTTTGAGATGTGGATGACAGCTGGAAGTCTGGGGTCCTTTTCTGTGATGCCTTCGTATAATTTTTTTTAGCACCATGTGGTTTAAAGGGTAAAAGAACAATGCTGCAAGTGATGGGTTGAGGTAAAAGCAAACCAGCTGTAGATGTAATTTTCTTCCATTCACTGTACAGTGCCTACTTTAAAGTTCCTTCTACAAAAAACCCCATTTTCCAAACCTAAAATTCTAATAAAATCCTTTTAAAGCAACTCAAACCCCCACAATATTTTGGCTAGAATCTCTAATGAGTTTCACGTAGGCAATAGGCGACAAAAAAAAATTAAGACACAAGAATAAGGAAAGATTTGAGACAATTAAAGAGTGAACCTCAGAGTCATTTTCAATTTGATTTGCGAAGAATTACTCGATGGGGTGTTTTGTACATTGGGAAAAATTAAAGTACATCTAAAACCTTTTTAACCCGATTGCGGAAGAGGAAGTAGGTGTAGTGTTAGTTTATATTTCCCACAAGAATAGTGGAACACGATCAAACAATTCGACGGACAGCTGAGGGTTAATTTATTAAGATCTAACGACATGTTTATCTCAGATTAACATAAAAATCAGTCGGACATCTTGAAAGTAATTCTTGCACTACCGCTGGCGCAAACTATATTTCAAAGAAACAATAAACTACTCGATACTTGTACACAATCCAAAGTGAAAGAAAAATAGGAAGTTCTTCAATGCGCGTCCTAATTATGCTGTTGATTAATTCAATAAACGAAGTGGATATACCAACAGGACAGCTGCTTCGATTTTTAACAAGGAAAACAAATTGTGCCACTAGCACGAACTCAACATCACCTTGATTAGAGCGTGCACTTTGTCCGCCGGTAAAACCACTGGATTTTTCTTCTTTCCCCTTTCGACCGCGGCTTGCGCATCTGCGATTGCCCATTTCTCGATCGGATGAGGGAATGAGCTCATAACTCGTTCCTCGACATCGGCGACTGAACGTGGCTGGCAGGCGCACAGATGATTCATGAGCTGAACGATCAAAGATTCGATGTATTCCAGCGCTTCGTCGTGTACTTTCAACGCAGGGTGAACCTGCGATTGCACCTAAAAGCGAATTTGAAAGGCCCAGTGAGTTATAAACCAAGTTTAATCACGCCTCCTTATCCTCAACCTACAAAATTCGCTAAGCAATTAACGATTACGTATAGTAAGGTTCTAAGCTGAAAAACCGCATCCCTTGAATACGACCCTTGCTGTTCAGAGATCGAAGATCACATCTACATACAGGTTGAGGAGAACAATCGATCGGAATGTCACCCTTATCCCCCGAAAGCGTAATGACGGGTCGATTTCTCGCCACAACTGCTTACCTTTCTAAGCGCAGGTACAAACATTCCCTTCCATTTTGTGGCGGTTAAATTGTTTTCATACTCAGATATGGGCATGATATCCTGCAGTAATCACATATCATTCCAAACCACAGCTAACAGAGTCGATAATCGTAATCATTTCCAAAGATCCAATGAAATTTCTGACTGAGGCTCTTTCAAAGCGCGCACGTACCGAGATGCCCGCTTCCTCTCGTTGCACCGGATTTGCGGCTTACATAATTGGTCTGACAGCTTAAGACTGCAAATATCTCGACAAGGGAAACCGACTTTTAAATACTGATGACCTACTTCAGTACTGTGGGCTTACATACAAAAGAGAGGAAGCAAGAATCGGAAATATTACATCAAAACAATGAATTCGGTATCAATCGATTGCAGTGGTCATGCATATCTCAATCAATTGCCTTGTGCGCATAGAGTGATTGGCATTGCACACTGACACAATACCCTTGCGGGCGGATTTCGCTTTCTGGGATTTTAAGAAGTCACAAGATTTGGTAATAGTAAGATAGCATTTTTGTCTTTGTTAGGGTGGTATAATGTCTTCAGAAAAATTTGAAGACCTTGAGGATGAACTTAAAAATCTCTATGAGGACATAAGTTCGAAAATAAGCAACAAAATTCCAAGACTTACTGGAGGTAACTAGTCATTTGTCTAACTTCTCTCATTATGTCCGTGTATTATGAGTTAAATTTAGCGTCGTTTTTGAGCAAAATTGAAATTTCATTATCTTAGAATCGCGGAAGAGCGCTGTCCGGGAAGTCGAAAAGAACATCGAAGATGCAAACCTAATTGTGAGTATTTTACAAGGTTAATTTTGGAAAAAGACTCAAGGTTTATTTTATAGCTAAATTTTTCGTGTGCCAGTTAATACACTCAGCGCAGCGCGATATTCTTTTCAAGATCGTCTTCCACAAAATATTCCTTTTTCCTGTTTTTAAACTCGTGTTTTAGCAATTTTATTGAATTGATTTTGATAACAAGGTAAAATTACCAGTTAGAGAGGGAACGGTGGGGCAAGAAACTAATTTGTGTTCTTGTGGAAGCGCTGTCGGGAGTTGAAAAGTAAGAGCTCTCATGGACATTTTTTAGATGTCTAAGTTAAACCTTTAACTCCCACAGGTGATTAACAAGTAACTTCTCTCTCTAATATCCACACATATTCCACCAAAGAGGTTATGACACTACTAAAACTTATCAGACAGAAGTTGTTTTGAAAAGAAAGCAAATTCTTCTCAATTATTTTAAGACCTTGAGTGTTGTTCCAGCCAGGGCTTGAACCCTCGACCTCCCGCACAACAGTCCAGTGCACTATCCATTGGGCTAACTGTATTCTCATCACTTATCTGATTGATATTGTATTGATATTGTAATGAGAATTTCTGTCTTGGTCACTCACGGGAGTCAAAGGGTTAAACTTTGGAAGGATACAGTGAAGAGTGTATAGAATATGGTCACTGGTGTTATGGTGAACAAAGGCTAACCCTTAAAGTGCCACAGTGATTAACATGTAACTTCTCTCTATAATATCCATACATTATCCAGCAAACAGATAACGAGAATACTCAAACTTATCAGGTAGAAGTTGCTATCTTGATCTAACATGAAATTCTTGTAACTAATGTACAAAGAAACATCTAGCACCTTGTGGGGAGAATTAATAATCAGACTGTGGGAGCTTAAGGGTTAAACATAGTAAACATAGAATAACAAGAAACTCCCAACAACTTAACATTCCTTTATTTAAAAACTGCTGCCAGTCAGAGATCGTTTCACTATAGGATGGCAAAACTATAGAACTCGTGAGACAGTGATTTGAAAATGTGTAATGAACTCACTAACTTTAAGAAAACTTTAAAATCAAAGATGTTGAATGAGTTTCTTACAGCAAAATAGTTTTTAACATTTAGTTTAATATTTTTTATTATTAAAAACTAGATCATTGGATAATGCAATTCAAGACTTTTTATTGGCTTAGCCATTATGGTATATCAGCCAATATACCATAATCTACAAATATGGCAAGCATACGTGTCAGCTTAAAATTAAAAGGGAGCTAAAAATTTAATAAAATTTAATAATTTAATTTAACGTTTTTAGTTAAACAATTATTCCACAAGCGCGCATTGGATATGAGATGATTATAGCCAACTTGGCACTACGTGTCTCTTTGGCTATGTATCATCTCATATCCAACGCGCGCTTGTGGAATAATTGTTAACTATATATGTATATCTTTTATTCTTGTTGTATTGTACTGTTCACTGAAAAACCCATTTAGGGAGTGTTCAATAAACTTATTACCATTACAATTACTACCAGAGTTAGTATCCTAGAAATGGTGAATGCCTTGAAACCCTTGCGATTTAATAACATAGTTTTTTTTATCATAGAAAGATATTGTATGTTGATTGCCAGCCAATTATTTTCATTTAGTTGGAAGAAATGGAAGAGCAAGCTGGTATAGCCCCAGTAAGCTACAGAAATTCCATGGTGTCCAGGATACGCAATTATAGGAGAGATTTTGATAAACTTAGAAGAGATTTGGTAAGAGCAATGAAAGTAGTCCCTGTAATTAGTGCTCTAGGATATTTCATGCTGTTAATTTTTTCCTTAAAACTTGACTGAAACATTTTGTTACATTCATGACTCGAGAGATGTGGGTTTTATAACTTAATAAGTTGACTGACTCTGTGTAAGCCCAGACCAGGCCATTGTGTTGCATTCATTCTTACAAGACAATTTCTCTAAAGAAATGTACTAGGATGATTTTTTTTAATGTTATTATTTTGGTAGGGCAAGCCAAAAGGACAGGTCAATGTGACGTTTGGAAGAGAAGAACTTTTAGATGAAGATCCTGTGGTATGTTAAGGCTATGTTGTCTCTCTCTTGTAATTCTGGTATGGTTTATTTGGATCAAATATGCTGATTACTGTTTTACAAAATGAAGGCTTACTTTACTCTATATGTTTGTTATAGGCTCCTCAGAAAAGCAAAGTCAGGCAAGGTACAGATATGCTGAACAGAGCCTCAGAAAGTATTGCAAGATCAACAAGGGTTGCTGTGGAGACTGGTGAGTTACATAACACTCCAACTTTGAACCTAATAATAAACATACCAAGTGTTTTACTCCCAGTCATACAGTTATCTGAGTGTGAATATAAACAGTTTCCATGGTGTTAATTTGGCAACAGTGATTACAGAATGTCTAGCTGCTACTATGCAGCATTCTGAGGTGATTAACATGCAACTTCTCCCAATAATATTCCTACATTATCCACCAAACAGGTAAAGAGAATTCTGAAACTTATCAGGTAGAATTTGTTATCTTCATCTAACTTGAAATTCTAGTACTTATTTACAAGGAAATATACAGCAGCTAGAGGAGAGAATTGACAATTGGATCTAATTTTTTTTGGGGGGGGGGAGGGAGAGAGCATTCTCTTGTTTGTACACTCTTCTCTTATTGTTCCATTTCAGAATGAAAACCTTGATTTCAGATATGAATTTTTGTACCATTTTAAGTCTTGGTTTTTGTGAAATGTCATCTCCTAATTTTGTTTACTTTTCTGTAGGAGTGTGAGATTATCTAATAAAGGAAATGTGGCTCATTTTGTATTCTAATATTAATTGCAGAACAAATTGGTGGAGAAATCATTGATGAACTTGGAGATCAGCGGGAATCTCTTGTTAGAACAAGAGGCAGGGTAGGGATAACAGTTCAACCACTATATATATCTTATTAACCAAGCGCGAGGGCCGTACTTGGAGAATATCGGCCCGAGGTCTTGACAGTACGGACAAAAAAGACCGAGGGCCGATATTCTTCCAGTACGGTCCCAAGCAAGCTCGGTTAATAAGAGATTTATTATACGACTGAAGTTCAAAGGGACACAAGTGCGGTATCATTCGGGACCATTCGGGACAGTGCCTGGTCCAATACTGAGAGAATATTGACCAGCAATAGAGCATTTTGATTGGTTGATTTTAGTTATTGGCCCTCTGACTGCCTGAGTCATGTAATAAGTTCTGCTTATTCACAATATCATGGCATGGAAATTTGATTTTTTTATTGTGGCAACATACCCTTCATCTATTTGGAGAACTTGTGCCTCTATATTTGACTGGGCATGGTTTAAAAGGTGTTTCAATAAAAGCAGATTCTGGCTGCCTACCAACCCCTCTAGGATGTCTCAATGTCATCTGCTAAGCTAGCAAGCAGGTCCTTGTCTTTGGGTATTGCCTTAGGGCCCCTTTCCATGCACAGCCACCATATTACACTGATTAGCAGCCACCTATCTAAAAAATTATTGAAGCCCTTGGTTTAAGGTAGAATGATCCCTGTGAAAAGAAAAAACACAGAGTATATTGAAGTATAGCCTGCTTGCAGGCAGTGTTCAAGATTCAGCACGCCAAACATATTCATGCACTATATTAGACAGATGGAAGATCTGGGATGAGTGACAAAGGGAGGGGAGGGGGAGGGGAGAAAGCTGGAAACACCCTCCCCCCCTTGCTTTGTCACTCGTCCCGGATCTTCTGCCCGTCCAACATGGCAACCAAATATATTCTCTGCACTGAATCTTGCACATATCAACTACCGCCTGCAAGCAAGCTAGTTGAATCATGAAAGAAAGAAATTCAAATCAAGGACTTGTGTGGTAAAGAAAGAAGGCAGAATAGTGCACTGAAATATCAACTATTGTGTATTTACCTCATAACTTATCACACAGGCATAAACATCTGTGTTGTGTTCTTGGGTAAAACACACCACTCTCTCAGTGCCTTTCTCCAACCAGAGCCCAGTTGTTCAAAGGCTGATTAACGCTAACCCAAGATTAAATTTTAATGCAGGTTTCTTTATTCCCTTCTTCAAAAGCCTTTTTAAGATGCTTTCTCTATTCTTTTTAGAGCATCCAATAATCAAAGTCTAGACAAAAAGATTTACACTGAATTTTCTTTCAAAGCTTTCAAATCTGAAATCAGATTTTACACTAACCTGGGGTTACCTTAACCCTGAACTTTGAACAACATGGCCCAGGAGTATAAATGGGTAGTGGTGTATTTACAGGGAAGCCCGATGAAATGATGGGGGGGGGGCCTTGCAATGGACTTTTAACCTATCAAGGGGGGATGCATGTGTCTGATTGCTTTTAGTCACTTCATGCTACAGAAACAGGGATGTGCTCAGGCTGGATAGGCCATATCTCTCAAGTACATATTTTACAAATATTTGAAGACAATCTTTCTGTAAGGGTATATAAACATACCAACTACGGATCAAAACTGTTGTTTGCACAAGCTAATTGCACAATTGACTTGTAGTTTCTATTTTAATTTGTCAGCTCAAGGATGTTGATCAGGACTTAGGAAAAAGCAGAAGAATTTTGAATAGTATGGCAATCAGGTGAGGAGATTTTTAGGTAAAATTTTTTTTTTTTTTTTTTTAGATAGGTTTTCTCATGATTTGTGGTAGAGATGGCAGGTATCCTAACAATTCGGGGGCAGGCGTTCCTAAGGAGGTGTGAAATTTGAAAACTTGGATAGTTTTTGAAAACTTGAGAAAAAAATTGACAACTTTTCAAGGTGTTTTTAGACAGCAAAGAGTAAAGACACTGTGTAAAGAGAATGGATTTAGAAAGAATTGAATTAGACCTTGAAAAAATTGTATCTAAATTGACCTAAACTTGTCAATCATCTGTATTAACCCTTTAGCACCTATGAGTGACCAAGACAGAATTTCTCATAACAATAACAATGTAAAGTCAAACAGGCAGTTGACGAGAACAAGGAAGAATATAACTCAGGGGATTATTGGTTGATTCTCAGAACTGGTATTATAAGAGTTGTATGTCAGACAGTAAGGAGAATTACTAAGAGATCTTGGGAGTGAAATGGTTGTTAAAAAGTGCTGAAAATGTTAAGATGGTGATATACTGGTAAACAAACCAATTTAAAGCCCTGGATATAAACTATATACCAAATAACTTTTATTTTAATCCTGATAATCACTCACTCTAAAACATGTCTTATTTAAAATGTGAGAACTCTACAATTTTTTTTTTCCTTTTTAGAGTTGCAACAAACAAGTTGATCCTGTTATGCATCATAATTGTTGAATTAGCCATCCTTGGAGCTGTGGTGTACATAAGATTTTTGAAGAAAAAGAAAAAATACTTTTTCCTTTCCTTTCCATTATGCTTTGCATTCACTTTACAATCAACAGGTCAAACATTTTTCTAGTTCTTACAATGTACATATTCAAACAGAAAATTGTCATTATTGCCAAGAAATCCACAAGGTTTTTGTCATATTAATAGTTAGAGTTACAATCCATATTTTGGGAAATCAAAACTTACTTCAATAGATCAAAGTGAGTGCAACATAAATTACTAAAAGTATGCATCAGCCAGGTTAATGAAACAAAACAATTTAGTGTAGTTTTGAACTGTAATTATCATTAAATGAATCCTTACTGTTGCAGAGGAGACTATTGCTTGTGGTAAAGGTTTATGTGTAGTGTACAATTATTGAAAAATTGCTGATCTGCAAAATTACAAACATAATGAATGAGCTGCACTTAATCTCGTATTTCCTTTCTGTATCTTTTGAGAAGTCTCTGGAAAAATACCAAATAATCTTCCTAGTGAAGGAAACCTAGATCAATTTTTTTTTTTTTTGGGGGGGGGGGTTTAAAAAATGGAAATATGAAAAAAGGGCTTACAAGATTAAGGATGTAATCGATTGACATGATCTGAAAATGATCCACATAAAAGATTTTTGTATTAGCCATGAATTGCCCAAAGTTTAACAATCTCCTTTAAAATTACTATCATTAATTTTATTCAGCTTTGAATAGCATGTAATCAATCAAATCATGTAGAGATAGGCACAAATTTAGGAATTTCTAGGCCTAGTTGGCAATGGATAGAAATAAATTTTAATACAAATGTCCTTTCTTTTGTGTATATTGATAAATAAATTAAAACAATTCATATTTCTTCACCTACAACACTGAAATTCTGGCCATAATCAAGATTGAGATCTCTAAAGTGAAGAAAATATTTTGTTACACGACTCGGGCAGTCAGAGGGCCAATAACTAAAATCAACCAATCAAAATGCTCTATTGCAGGTCAATATTCTTTCAGTATTGGACCGGGCACTGTCCCAAATGGTCCCAAATAATTCCGCACTTGTGTCCCTTTGATCTTCAGTCATATAATAAATCTCTTATTAACCAAGCTTGCTCAGGACTGTACTGGAAGAATATCGGCCCTTGGTCTTTTTTGTACGGACCTCGCTGAGCTCGATCCGTACTGTTAAGACCTCAGGCCGATATTCTCCCAGTACAGCCCTCGCGCTTGGTTAATAAGATATATGTAATCAGGGACAATATGTACATGCAATAGTAACAGTAGAAATTGTGAGAGTTTTTTCTCTCCATTAGTTTTAAACTGTGTATAATTTATTTGTATTAAAAGTAGAAGTCTCATGCTCATTGTATTGACAGTGGTCACCCTTGTAATGGGTGAAACAAACCCCACCTTAAAAAGAGAAGGAAACGTAAGATGAGCAGAACTCTTTGCTATGAAAAAAAAAAACATTCAATGGGTGCGAGCAAAAATGACATGGGAATTGTTTGTTGACTGTTGGGAGAGAAGATGATGTTGAGAAAAAAAGGTTACCTAATGGTAATTATATTTTATACCTTTATTTTTTTTTTCCTTCCTTTTTATAGTTGTAAACAGAAAATACTACATTTTGAATTGCAACATATTTTGATATATACAAGCCAGCAACTTGGTTACACTAAAAAAAGATGATGAAGACAGCTCCAGCTTTTAATGGTCTCACTTATCAATCAACAAATTTCATCTCTCATTTTATATAAAAAAAATCAGCAGAAAACATCTTAAACTGATGCCCAATTCATGAAAAGTTTTAAGTCAGAGGTAATGAATCCTTTTGCTGACAATAATTATATTATTTGAAAGTGCAATATATAAACAATAGCCTCCATTTGGTGCAAAAACATGCTAGGATATTTGTTTGCAGACACTATTTGTTCTGAGATGAGAACAGATTTGCAAGAGCAAGGCTTAAGGAAAACTGTGAACTTCAAGGAACCGATTATGTCCAAGGACAAATTTGAGCCAAGTGGAAGCTATTTTGTCTATTATCCTTCAAATACTTTTGCAACATGTGGGAATAAATGTCCAGGAACAGCTTACTGTTTACTGTGAGAGGTGTTCACTTTTCAGTGTTCTCTGGCACAACTTTATGAACAAAAAGGTCAAGCCCCTTTTCTATAACAACCACCAAGCACTCTCTTCATCTCAGATTAAACTTTAAAGATGTTTTGCAGTCGAGATAAGGTTTAAAAACTGGGGAATATCACTTGAGGTATATCCTCAGATATCCCCCAGCTTTAGTAAGGGGAGTATTCAGTCATGTGATGCATTTAGACCAACCATGCACCAGCAAAAATCTTTGATAGATAATAAGTATTGGTAAGTCTATTTCACTCCCATCTTAAACAAATGAGCCAGATGTATTACTCTTCACCCCTACCAATGCTAGTGCTTGACTTTCTCCTTAAAAAAAAACTATGAATAAGTTAATGCCTGACCTACACAACAATACTTAGCAACATGTAAATTCAATTACACTTGTCTAGAAAAATACAAAAACCTCTATCAACATAGAGCTTTAAATATCTGAAAAATTACACTTCAGTCTTCATGTACAGTTACACAGTTGTTAAATAACAAAACATCATTGCATAACTAAACACTGACATTAAAATTCTCTCTTTGTCACATCTGATTCAAGAATTCAAGCCAGGAAACGTATGCTCATCTTAGAGTTCATGTCTACATTTTCCAGTACCTAGAAGAAGACAGAAAATTAATCCTTTACTCCCATGAGTGACCAAGTTAGCATTTCTCCTTACAATATCAATACAAATCCAGCAAACAAATAATGAGAATAAAGACAAATATCAATTAGGGGATTTTTAATTGACCCAAACTAAGTTCTCCAAACTAACACGATAAGAATTATATGACAGAAAGTAAGGAGAAGTCCTGAATGAGATCTAGGGAGTAAAAAGGTGAAGCACATTGGTTTGAATTTAAGAAATGAGATTCTAAGCATGCTCTCGCTGGTCGACAGGTTTGTCTACAGTATGAAAGCAAAGTAGTGACATTTTTTATTTGTGCTTACGAAGCACTAGAAGCTCATTCTTTGCATAAAATAATAGCCTAAATTTAACACTTAGGGGTTGAAAAGTTTTGAAAACCCTTGCACATTTGAGGTTTGAGTATAACTACGGCAAATTCTCCCACCCTCTTCACAGTTAGATGGGGCTGTGTAAACACAAAAAAAGTCCTCTTTGATCACTGCCTAATATATATCAAGTATTCATAATGTACTGAGCAAAAAGCCATACTGTCAGCTAGATAGTGCACAATTTTTAGCCTTCAGGGTAGCCTTGAACAGCACTTCTTAAGACTAATATCATCAGATATTCACTTACTCTCTTCAGCTCCTCAAATGAAATGACACCATCTTTATCTAAATCCGCATCACTTATTGCACGGTCAGCAATCCCACCAAGTTGTTCATCACTGATATTTCTGCCGACCATCATGTGAAGGACCTTGAAAATAACAATCATCAACTCGTATTAATATTCATCCATGACTGTGTTGATGACATCTGTTTAGATTGTCAAAACCTCTAACACTGATTACCACCAACAACAGTCCTTTTTGCCTTCACTTGAAGGATCTAAACCTTTCACACCCTCACATTGGTATTTATTTTCTCCGCACTGTTTACTTTATATTTCCTCTGATAACTACAAGGAGAATTTGGTGACAATCAGGGTTGGGTTGTTCAAAGCTGGGTTACGAAAACCCAGGGTTGGTGTCAAAACTGATTTCAAATCTGGAAACTTTAAATTTAAAGAAACTTTTAATTAGTATTAATAATGAATTCTTTTTGTCTAGAATTTGATCATTGAATGCTCTTAATATAATAGAGGAAATTATGTCAGAAAGGCTTTTGAACAGAGGAATGAAGAAACCTGCATTCAAATTTAACCTTGGGTTGACACTTATCAAACATCTGTTTCAACATTTGCAAGACATATAATTATAAAAGTCAAGTGGGTGGAAAAAGACTTGTAGGGCCGGGCCTACCGGCCTACAAGCTGGCCACACTACTGGTGCCTATACTCTAAGTATTTCATAATTGTAGAAAAGAAGGCCCTGTACCTGCATGAGATCATCTTTGGATATTTTCCCATCATTGTCCAAATCATAGATCTTGAAGGTAACTGCAAAGTGAGAATACATTTAACTAAGTGCAAATCAATGTGTTTTAATTTGATCTTTAACTGCATCTTTACCAAAAGTCTCTGATAAAGTTATTACAGTCGACAACATTGAGAGCATCAACTAAGTCTTAAATTCTAGCCTTCTTGTATGTAGAGTTAGAAGGCTCTTCAAAAAAAAAAAACCTTTGCACTGATTGAATCATTGTAAAGTTTAGAAATGGATGAACTCCTCTGACAAATTGCATCTCGTTCACAGGATGGTTAGCCTGCATCAAAAAGCAAGAAGTTTTCAGTTTGAATGCCTTGAATTTCAAATTCCCCAGTGAATACCTTCGAACACAAGCACTGATAAAAAAAAAAAGCTGATACTTAACAAAGACACAAAAACATAAAATTTAACACACTTCATTGATATTTTCCATGTTGCAAAGGAACTTAACTAAAGGAAAGACATTTCACATATATCTTCAGGTGAATATAACCCAACATACATTGAAGTTTCTTCTCTCTGGTGTTAAGAGGGTTTTCCTTTGATTGTTCAAATGGTCTGAAATGCGCTAAGGTTCTGACAAACTGTCTGAAGTTGCAGGTTTCTTCTCCACTTTCCCTAAGGAAAAATATTATTTAAAGGTAATTATTGTATTTAGTAGACAGACGTATCTCTTGAATAGGTTTTCTCAGTAATCAAGTCTCTTACAGTCTGTCATTCAGATTTTGGTCTTTGAGCTATTCTTTCCCATTCAATAAATAAGCAAGCTACTTAAGTCTTTCACTCCTGAGATCTCTATAGTAATTCTCCTTACTGTCTGTCATATAATTATCATAACATTAATTCAGAGAATTTAGTACTGGATCAACTAGTTATCCCCTAATTGATATTAATTTTTTCCTTGTTCTCATCCCTTGTCTGATAGATATTGTATTGCTACGGAAAGGAGAAATTCCGTCTTGGTCACTAGCGGCAGTGAAAGGGTTGAGTCTTTACTCAGTGTTGAGTCATGATGCATACACTGTGCTATTAGTGCTCAAATCAGGCTGGTGATAACCAGTCACACTCAAGAATTTTGCTAGAGTTTGAAATTGGATAACGGGGCTTACACCATTGACCAGAACAAGACGTTTAGTTTGATATCTGCTGACGCTTTTAAAGAAACAAGGTAATTGCTATCTTATAGAACTTACTTGCTATCTTCGTTCATGAAGAAGGCATCTATAATCCTTTCACCAATTGGATTGATGGCCAACTCAGGTATAGATATAAAATCTGCACGACTGTTAATCAAACAGAAAACATTTGACTGTATATATATAAAAAACGAATGGTTCGAGATCCGCACATTTAACAAACCTTAGCGTGCCTTTTGTTGCTTTATCAAGACTTTTGAATCTGCTGTAGAGTCTTCTTATTTGATTGGAAGAAACTGAGGAGACAACGATCAAACATTTGATCAAGTGACAAATGGTAATAAAAAACATTATAATCCATAAATGTACATCCGAAGAGAGAGCACTATGTATTCGCCATTTGCCGGTAAAATTCTTTCAACTTACAACCAGTCTCATTTTGCAGTTCTTCGATATCTTCTTCGTGCAGAAGTATTGAAGATTTCAAGCCCATAATAAAGCTTTATTCTTGCTGAAAGTTGATTTTTCGCTTTAAAACATGCCTCACAGCAGAAACTTTATCTCATTGCTTAGTAGCCTTACCTACTTGTTTGCCTGGCCCCCAAGCAAATTAAGGGAGCAAATTTGTATCCTGTCTGGAGTAGGCAGGAACGTGATTAATGAAACTCAACGAGCTTGTTTATAAAATAGAACTTCCTGTGGCTTGATTAAAGAAGATAACTTTTAAGAAATTTAAATAGATGCAGTTATATCCTAATTTTGGTAGATCTTGGAATACATAAATGAATCCGAGAAGAAAATGATCCTTCCTGCAGTCCCCTCCACAGTTTCGAAGAAAACGAGGAGACTTGGAACGAGGTCCATATGAAGGGTGTGAGACGGGATAGTAAAGCTTACATAATCAGATGTGCAATCATTGAGTTCTGCGTTTACGATGAATGTATGCAGAGTAACACGTCAGTTTTGTGTACGACCCATCGCGAAGAAAACTGCCAGATCGTGTTACTCAGGAAAACAGCAAGAGTTATTTTTGATTGGGGTTCCCTTTTCAGGCGGACAGGTGAAAACAGTTTTTGTTTACTAGAAAACGTTTATAGTTAATTAATGGGATTATGACGGTCCAACTATTACTGTAGTTGCCTGTGTTTACTCGAAATATAGCAGTCCCGCAGTGTCAAAACAAAAGCAATTTTCCTTTCGCATTTTCCCCGTCATTTTCCCCGTGTAAGTCGAACAGTTGACGAATTTTTCACGCAAGAAAGCCTTTCGATCGAGGAAGGATAACAGGTGATCTGTCACTTAGATGACTCGTGACAAATGACTTTTTTAAGAAGTTTGGAGATGGAAGAGGAAAGTAGCCTATGAACCATTAAGGTCTTGTTGTTTTCGTGTTTAGATGCATTCGAAGGATCCATTCAGCCAATAGGAAAGTAGGAGCTTCTCTATTCAGATATGGGACGAGACAAGGAATTAGGGTCTTTTCGTCCAAGTCTTTTCGTCTAAAAGTATTTTCACCTAAGTCTGTTGGTTTACTCGTTAAGTCTTTTCTCGAAGCAAAGAAATAACTTTTAGAAGGCTAGATAAGGCTATATATATATAAAGAAGCTGTTGCGAGCCGCCGCCACTTGGGTACGTCGGACACGTAGGTGATGTTACACTTCGGTGCCTCGTACGCCCAATAGACGCTTAACAACGAGCCTAATCTTCCCATTTCTTTCGCATGGAATAATTAAACGGCAAGCAAGTCTTCATTTTTGCTACTATTTAATGAAATATATTGCGTTACAACTTCATTCATTCTCTGTGTATTAAATTCATGGCGTTGAATTCGTAAACAAAGATTGTTAAACCAAAAGGGCAACGGCTCGCACGGATAAGTTTTATGTATAGCCTTATCAATTTAACAATTATTCCACGAGCGCACATTGGATATGAGGTAGATGGCCAACGGGGTGCGTAGCGCCGAGGTGGCTTTAATCATCTCATGTCCAACAAGCGCGAGTGGAATAATTGTTTTATTAAAAAAAATGCCCCCAAGATATTAGACAAACCTTCTTGACTTTATTTTTTAAGAAGAAACTGGATGTTACAATGTAGAGATATTAGATTATGGTATATTGGCTCATATACCATAAATGGCTAAGCCAATAAAAAGTCTTGAATTGCATTATCCAATGATCCAGA